GACAACAACAGCAAAAAAACAAAAAACAATTAAAAAATGCAAAAAAATACCTAGAAGTAGAAAGGAAAATAAACAGCATATAATAATATCTCAGTATTGGGTAGTGGAAGCTATGATATGATTATGCATGGTGACAGTAAAGATATAGTCATACAAGAAGTTATGAAATGATATTTAAGAATGTTTATCGCCAAGAAGATCAGTTAATTTGGTTGAAGCAACACTAAACAATCATAAAATAACATTTCAGGGTTGTTGTTTTGTTTTTTATTGTCAGGTCTAAGGCAGTGTTTGTAGTGGTAGTGCGAGTAATCCTACATAATGGCGTTCACAACCAATGATTGTCAGTTAATATTGCCGAAAAAACGAAAAAATTAAAAAAATATAAAAAAATAAAAAAACCCACAAAAACTAATAATTACATGATGGTTAATGACAGGACAATTTTGTAATACTCATAGTGGTAATTTAGTCGGAAACAGTAGATGCACAAAAGAAGGAATAGAGTAAAGTACAAAAAAGGAAGCCAATGTTAATAATTTAGGTAGCTAAGTATGTTTAAGAAGAAGTTCACTATGGAATACAAAATAAGAGAGAAATAAAAGAGCCTAAAATTATGATTATTAACAACAAAGCAAGTCATAGGTTTCGCCCTTAACACTGTCTCTGTCACTTAGAACACGGACCAAGTATGGTATCGTTGAGTTCCTGTACTTGGTTGTACGAGCATATATTATTTTATACTGATTTCTGCTTCTACCTGATGAGGTACAAGGCGAGAGTTTGGAATAGAGGGGTGTTGGGGGTTGGAGAGTATGGTTTTTTGCCATTTTTCTTATGTATTCAGATGCCTTTCAACTAATGTAGTGACGAGCTGACTGAGTTTCACACCACTAGTCCTACTAACTACCTTTAACATCCTTCTCAGGATGGTATAGTCCTTTTTCAGTAGACCAGGAAAGAATAACGGGGAGCAATAAAGTAGGATAGGTAAGATACAAGAGTTGAAAAGTTGTGAAAGTAGAGGTTGGGTGATTCCAGATGGTCTAATTTTCTTAATGTACTAGATTATACAGAACACTTTCTTAGAAATCGTTAGGATATGAGATGTCCAAGTAAGGTCGGAGGATAGAACTAGACCGAGGTATTTTGCATTAGACTTAGTTTCAATTTTAGTCCCCTCAACACAACAGGCTTCATGAGTACTTACTAGTGTTTGTAGATCTCGTTTATGCCTAAGGGAGAAGTCAATAGTCTGGTATTTTGAGGGATTCAGCATGAGACCATTTAGTTTGGACCACTGACTGATGTCCGACAATGAGCTATTCAATTTGAAACATTCCGACTGAGACTTAATGGGAAACGATACAGACAGGTCATCTGCATATTTGAAGAAGTTGATTTCGTCTGAAAGACGTAGATCATGTAGGAAGAAGGAAAAGAGAAACGGAGAGAGAACAGCACCCTGAGGAACTCCAGCTTCAGTATGAACCAGTTAACTCCAATTCTTTTGGGTTAAGGTTCAGTAATGCGGACAGTAACCCTTCTGTTTATCACCCCACTATATGTGCTTCGGCATACACGTGTAGATTTGTAGGATCAGTTGGAAAAAACATGAGGTGGGAGTGTCCACTCTTAATTGTCTTAAACAGCTGTTTTTGATACACACAAATAAACTCGGAGGCTTCCTTCCAGTGCAGCAGTCACTTTGTATATTAATCAACTGGTGATGTCATCATCACCTTTGAAGGTAAGCCATAGAAAGATGTGCCATTTTCTCCACCACTGTATTCATGTGAGAAAGCTTTGTTCTGAGAAAATAGTCCAAGAAGAGCCATCCATTTTAGAGAAATCCTTACAAGATAATAGGTAACCAAAAAAGTCCATCGACAGACATGGAGACGTATATCAGTTCACTTGTTCTCGTGAAGGCAGGTTGTTTCGACGCTTATCCTGTCTCAATGAATACTATCAAGAATACTATCTCGCATGTTTGGAAAAAGACATTAGTGGTTCCATAACGAGTGTGATTATTGAAGATATTATCAGCACTGGTCATTCCATCTCAACAAACGCCTCTTCGAAGTAATCTGCAAAGTGAAGAATAACCTACCAAATGCAATACGCTTTCTTCACCTTCGCATTGCTGGATCTCTAGCCATTCAAACGGAGAAACCTGAACTGTGCATACAAAAGAAAATTATTCAATCAATTCTACTCTCATGGAAACAACCTCGTTCAGTTTTACTGACCTCATTTCTGGTAGTTTCTTTTTTCTGTAGAACTCTTACATAATTCAATATTTTCACTCGTTTCTATGTGAATTCTGATTCAAAATCATTCACATTAAATTTTACACCTTATGCGTGACTCCAATACACTCACTCAGCCCTTCTTATACGCTGACTGATATTTGCAACAATGATTACGAAATCTCATCACTTTTGTTACCACTCTCCTCTTCCAGGAAACACTTGCATATAAATGCGATTGTACAGGTGAAGAGGAAAATGAATTCGCCACCGAAAACAGCCTCTTCGCTGAACTGCGTGTTTTGTTTCCATTAAGCACGGAAAAATCAGTGTGGATAAGGTGAAATAAAACACATGGGAGAAAACATCCGTCCAACTACAGCTTGCCTCTCAAACAACATACAGCGCCAAAATAGTTATGTCGATACAAATGCTGAGCACATGAGAACCAAAGTATGTTCTTCGAATTCTTTTTTCTGTGAGACTCATGTCAAGCAATGGATATTTCTATCAGACAGAAAACAGAAAACATCCATAGGTGTGTATAACGAGATCTTGCTGTCGTCAGTCTACCATGGTCTAGTAGCTAAATGGATTATAAATAAGGTGAATCATTGACAAAAATGTCAAATGAACTGAGTTTCGTCGAATGAAATCAAGAAATATTTTTATGTTCATGGAAGTAATAAGTGTTATGTTCGAGGTGTAGGGATGATTTGCTTAGGCTATAGTAGTCCTTCAGCTCACTTATAATTGTATACATAAATTCAAAATGGAAGTGGTCGGTATGAGAAAGCAATAACAGGAAAATAACTATCCAAAGTGATATTTATATTATAAGACAGACGTTGCGAAATGGAAATTCGTGCTAATCTAACTGAAGATAGTGTGTGAGGAACTGAACAGAAAGTGATAGTGTGCCAAAATGCTAGAACAATTATCTCAGTGAATAACACCAACCACTGAACAACCTAATTAGTTCCCGAAAACACTGAGAATTGATTCATGACTTATCATGTATTTCACTGTTCAGCAACAGACAAACAGTTACTGTTAGCCTGTTTGCAAGACACGATAAAACATGAATAAAAGTTGCACTCATTTTTCATTGAAAAATTAGTTGGCAGGTGTCTTAATTACTTCAATCAAAACTCTGATATAATTTGAGATCTGGATTACCTAGGAGAAATAAAATTTCCCACCGTTTTGCCACTGAAAGGGAGACCAATATGACATTAAACAAGCTTCAGGATTGATCAAATTCTGTCAGTGACTACTGGTTTCTTCGGTGTAGCACTACGATCTGTTGTGCATTATATTTTAGAGTTGAAGTATTTTGAAGAGAATACTGGGTTGAAAATTTCACATTCACTAAAATGTTTCAGTAATGCTGTTATGTGATTGTGGTGAAAGCTTGTTTAACAATCAGCAGGCCTTTGCTCTGTCTTCATTGATGTGCTCTACAGAGAATCGGATACACCTTGTGCTTTTCACTGGTGAAGTATCCGGTTGTATTGCTGAATGTCTTTGTCTTGGGTAGAAAAAGAAGGTGAATTCTCCTGTAGTCTGAAGATAGATAATACACTCGGCGTCAATGAGAAGATGGACTCGATCAACTAGATATCTTCACCTATACTTTATACTTGACTGTTTATTTGACGTCTGATCAACTACGCAATTCGACCCTTACTTAACACATTTCTTCACTTTCACGTATATAATTAATTTCTCAGGTGCTTTCTTCACCTTACAATATTCTAGTAATTTTTCTGTATAAAATAACAGACTTACTAACACCCTTTATTTTTCCCACTTTGCTATTCAACTCCATGCTGATTAACTAAAGTATGTGAATACTTTCGTTGCTAATATTAAAATTGTTCAACGTTATATGTGGCTGTGAGGAAACAGCGAAATGAAATGATGATACGAGATTATTTTGCTCGGTTTGCTGTCGTCCCCTTGTTTGATTTGAGCAAAGAGAAGAAAAGTATATCAAACAACTGTTGACGTGGTTTACATTCATACAAACAAAGAGTGGTTATGAACACGAATTATCATACAGCACACTCTCCTTTTTCAAATCTCGTTTTCTCAGTCTCTTTTGTCACAACTCAGTTACTCAACACACTCATATTTATGAGTTTCTTTCATTTGTGATTGTTCAGCATTTCCTCAGCGTGTCACATCAGGTAGCAGTTGTTAGGTTTTGTCCAATCCCCGATGGAGTTGTGGGTGAACTCTACTGAATACTTTCAGACTTGAGTTTCCAACATTCGCATTGTGTGATGTAAACATTTCGGGTTTTTAGCGACAACCGTCATGAATTGTTACCTCAAACTGTGCAATATTCAGATGATATGTCATTCGTGTCAGTGTTTACTACGAAATGTAGCCTGAGAATGTTGTTACATCTCAGTGTTAATTTCTAAAAGTGTAAGAGCCTAGTTTTCACTTTATCCTTGGTTTAATTTCGAATACGTAATGATGTACATTTGAAGTATGATATACACTAGCTGAATAGATATAGCTGTGCTATTAAGTCTGAGCCTGGCCTGAATATCTACGGTGGTAATAGTAGGAATAAGGAATGAAAAGCAATAGGATTCATAGTATGAATGTATTACAATTTAGTATAAATATTTCAAGTTAAATAAAATTTAATACAAGATGACTGTCATATTCGAAGTATGTAACTCAAGCGTTAAATTTTCAATGTTGAAAAATGTTTGTTTAACTAGTTGATGTTCAATTTGGTTTCTTTTTCAAAGATTTCATTCTATCTTTTGTCAATGCTATCCAAATTGCTTGTGGCAATAGATTATTTAGGAATTCCTTCAAATCATGGCGCAAATAACCGTATGTGAAGCTTTCTACGCCTAACATGTCCAATGCACTTTTCACATATGTTTCGGCGGTCGGTATGAAAAATGTCGGTTTGCTAACCCTTGTCATTGGTGTAGCGACAAGTATTGGACAGACAGTTTGTATTACAATCTTTTTATCATAGTCTTCTGCCGTGATAGATTTAGAGAATTGAAGGACGAAGGCTTTTGTTGCTGCATACATTGCAATATAAGGAAAGACTTTGACAGCAGAGTAGGATGAAATATTGATAATAGCTGGGTTAGGCTGTTTTTGTGATAACATTTTGGGCATTACTATACGTGTCATTGTTGCTGTTGACAATGCATTGCAATGGATGATATTTTTGATGCACTCCTTACTATTTGACCATGAAGATGATGCAAATGAATCCAGTCTCCCAAACATTCCAACATTATTGACTAAACAGGCGATGGAGGGGAGTTTCTCAATTTCAGGTTCAATTATATCATATACATTATCCTAAACAAATGTTGATACAGAATTATTACTGTTATTATTACGATTATTATGAATATGATAACCCTAACCTTTTTTGTAATATAAATACGACTGTACAACTTGAAAATGAATAAATAGGTATTTTTCGTGATTTAAAAATCTAACCTTGTTAATCTTTGTACAACTAATATTTCACTCTGAGTTTTGTGAAGGTTAAAGCTAAGAGATTTAATTTCCATATTGATATTTTACCATTGAAATTTTCTACTTTTGAAGGACAGCCATTACTTGGACAGAATGGTATGACGACAGGTATTTCCAGTTATTTTTGGAAACAGTGTCACGTAAATGACTGAAAACGACCAAATTACGCGGATCTCGTCTATCTGGCGTATAAAGTATTAATTCACATTTCCAGACTGAATATCTGTTCACTGAAAGTTATTGCAGTATGAAATTGTATAACTCGCTCAACAGATTCTCCAACTTAATCATATATGTTAATGAGGCGCTGAGCAAGCTGTCCGAATTAGAAATGAAATGTCCGTTATATGTGCGTCTGACTCTATTTCTCGTTTTTATTCGCTTGGTGGTAGATGGTAGGGAGATCTGTTGTGTCAATTCCACCCAATTTAAGACTCGTCGTCCTGATCAAAGCACATCAGTCATAGTTGGAACAGTGTAGGAGGGTCTGTACCAGGAGTTGATTCACTAGTACGAACCCACCAATTCATTACAGCAAAATCATAAAACAGAAGATTCAAAACTTCCAATAAATAATTACTTACTACAGCTTTTGCCGTAACAAAGATATTAAGACTCACATTTGTAAAATCAGCGACAACGATTTTAGTTTCGATTTCATATTTCTTACACAATTCGTCGGCAACTGAAAACAGTTGTTGCTCATCGTTACCAATTAGCATAATATTTAAACCATCTTTAGCTAATTCGTCTGCATAGGCTTTACCGATTCCAGATGATGCACCAGTAACTATTGCCCATTGACCAGCACGTCTCAAATACTTCCTCTTGGAACAACAAAGTTTTCCCACAGTGTATTTTAGCACGATACCCAATAACTGCATGACTTTGAAATTCAGCCACAAGCTTATTAGGACAATAAGCAAAATCCACCAATCCTCTTGTATTTTCTTCAAAATATCCTATGTCGAAAGTCGAATGAAATAAATTCGAAAATGATAAGTTATTTTTTGAAAAGAAGCAATGGTGAAATAAAGGTGAATAAAACTGAACCTCTGTTCATTGTTTATTTCTTGTCGTGATGCAGCACAAATTAACTAGTCATTTGTTTAAAGTGCTATCGACTGAACTACAAGTGAGTAAGCTCACTAGCCTAATAGATAACGTGAACTACTGTCTTAATTTCCATTGAAAGGAGTAATAATTGGTTAATACCCAATTGTTACAACCTCATCCCGTTTATGTGACTTGAAGGAAATAGCACACAGATTGATAGATTCACATTCTCCAAATGAACGCATTATTCTGACCAAGGGAAAATGCCTTTAGTGGTAGATATCTTCCGTTGATCAAGACAATAATTAGTGCATGATCATATGTGTGATTTCTGTAGATTCAATTGGTCTCAAGACAGACTTGACTACGAGTCAACATGTGGTAAATGATTGAAAACAGTGAGTGTCAGAGTGGTGTTTCTGTTGGTCTATGAAATTCCAGCATTGCTGTATGACTTATCACACAGATTGGACAGTCACTCACTGTGCTGCTAGAGATTCATCGAGGAAGACAGAACGACTGTCTGTTGCTAGTTGTTTCGATAAATGATACAACTGCATTACTTAATCTACCTGGACATTAATTTAACACCCAAAAATTTAACATCTAAATATCAATTGTAAATAGTTTCCAAACTGGTTCACCAGTGATCAGGTGAGAAGTTGTGGCTAGTAGGGAGATTCAACAACCATGAAGAAACATGCGTTTATTCAGCAGTGCTAATAAACATCACTGATCACTGGTTGAAGCGATGAAACTGAATGTCATGCAACCTAACATCGAGTTTTCATTGATTTCTCTCCATTGTTATTGCAGCGATGTTATATCATGCACACACAGGATATCGCTTTAGATAAATTATCTGGATGGTACAATGGAATTGAATGATCCGGTCATACTGGTTGAAAAACTATCTACCTGTGTCAATAAGAATTATCACCAGACGAAATTTGGGTATTGAGAGAGTTTTGAAGGAGAATGAATCTTCCTGACCAATTCTTGGAAGAAATGAAACAAGGTGAATGTCGGTTTTGGACAGTGACACATCACAGAGGATTTACAATTGGGTCAGGGAGTGAACAATTAAATCGAGGATGTCGAAACGTCTACATATTTTCGTCTGTCAGAAACGATTCACTGTCAACCGCAAATCCCCGTATTGTAAGTCGTTATGCATCACTGTCGTGGTTGACTTTATAAACTATTGCTTGACAGACTAGCAATCAGTACATTTGTTTTTCAGAGTACATAAGAGAAATACCATATAACTGTTACATCTTTTTTCTCAAAAGATAGCTGGTTAACCAACGAACTCCAATGATATTGGAAATTGATTCCTGTTTAATGTCTATTCAAAGGATATTTCTAGTATTATAAGTCCTTCAAAAATGATTATTATTATTGAGTCATTACGGTATGCAGAGGTGACCATCACGTCAAGATGATAACAGTCCCTCTTCTTTTTATCTTTCACTTATATATGCGAATATGAGGTTTGTCAGAGTGAATCAATACAAAGTAACACTACACCCTATATCGATAGTATCACTAACACAGAATATACATTAATAAACTTTCCTAAGAAATGACTAAATCAAAGTGAATAAAATTTTCTTTCCATATTGGTCAACTTTGTGATTCAGTTAATAGTGCAATTACTATTATTTTCACCATTTTATTCTTCAACCGATTCCAGTTGATGATGATTTATGCGTCACATTCAAAACATCAGACGAGTCTAACATTGCAAATAAATATTTACATATAAGTGCATGAAAACAACTTCGTGGGGACTTTGAGCGAAGCTGAACTTTTCTGAACTGTGTTTTGTTTGTAACTCAAAGTGAGTCTCGCCAGCGTGTGCCCTATACATCTCCATTCTCTTCAGGATGATTTTAGCGCTCTAGATTCTTGGTTGGTTTCTTTCCGTAGTTTTTTGTTGCTAACTCTTTCTGGCCACTTAAGCCTCAGTGTGAAGAGGATAGAGCTGTTAATAAAAGTCTATAACCTGCTGGAAATTCTTTTGATGCAGTGTGTGCCAGTTTTCTGAGTCAAATGGAAGAGCTCACTCACTGAACATTGGTGTTGAAAATCAGAATGAATGACTAGGAGTAATACAGAATCGTAGATATCATTTATATAAATATTCATGTAAACGCTATTCCACTATATTGCCCTTATATGAAATTGAGTGTATTCATAAATTTAGGTCGTCGTTAAAGTATCGCGATGCAAGGGCAGAGCAATCAGATCAAAGTGGCGTCCTCAGGTAAAACAAAACACCGTATTCAAAGAAATAATGCTAGTAAAGGACAAGAAGTTTTGACTAGATACCTCTTCTTATAATTTTCTCTATTACGGATGCGTAACCCAGTTCCTCTTCTTCCAACCAAATTGGGTGGATTTGTGGTAATGGTCTTTTGATGGCCATTGGTGGGTTGGATCGCTTTTCTTTAACTTTGCAGATGTTAAGTATATACAACAGAACGCCAAAGAGTACTACTGACTAACTGTGTATAGACTGATAACTTTGAAAGTTCTACATAACAAGACTTAAGAGATGACTTGTAAACTTTTCGACCACAATAAACAGCAATGACAGGGTGACTAAGTGAAGCAGCCTTAGCTATGGTATTGAGCATAGTTGTAAGGCCTTATAATGAATAGTAGTTTCCACCCGATATTTTCAAATTGAAAGAAGTGTATAGACAACTGAGATCCACACAATTCCAGCTGCTGGGTATTGTGGGTATGTCAAGCTGACGAATCAGAAATATGATGAAATGCAAATTCTGGATTCTACTACCAGTCTCCATCCACCTAATAACATAATAATAATAATCACTTTATTCCACAACAATAACAATTTACAGCATGGAATTTTCAGCGTTTCATTTTACATATTGCATTGGTTTAGCTCTTTTTATAATTATATAAATTTATGAAATGTTAAAAATATTGATAATTAGTAGGAAAAAATAAAAACCCCAACAAAATCACACCATTGCTAGGTCATAGTGAATAATAAATAAATAATATAACAAATCACACATGCAATAATATGCATCATTAGATTTTATAGTTTAGTTAATGATTTAAAAGTTGTAAAAGTTCTTTTCTGATATTCGTCTCTTCACACAATACTCGTGCCAAATATGGTACGGTCGAATTTTTATATTTTGTAGTACGAGCATAAATGTTTATGAAATTTCTTCTGGTCTTACCCGAAGAGATACAAGGAAACAATTGTGAATAGAGAGGATGTTCACTATCAGACAAATAACTTTAGCTAAGTGTTTACAAGAATTCATGTGCCTATTGACAACAGTGTCGGTTAGTTGAGTCAAAGGGATAGCACTGACCCTACTTACAGCCTTCAATGTTCTCCGTAGTATTATATGATCTTTCTTGAGTAGCCCAGGGAAGAATAATGGAGAACAATAAAGAATGACGGGCAAAACACATGAATTAATAAATTGTATGAGAAGAGATCATGTTACTCCTAAGACATCGTGGAAGTGTCCGCACTTGGAGTAGACATGTCAACAGAGAACGAAGATTACGGCCTTATCAATCAGCGGGAAAATCAAAATCGAATGAAATGAATTTAATACAATTCACAAAGTGTTGAAACAAAGTTCTCAATGGATTATTTAAAATAACAACTAGGCAGAATCGGAGGAATGCACTAAACTAGTGCAAACCTCAACACCACATGAGTATATCACTCACAAGTCAACGTGAATTGATCACTCGTTTTGTTAGTCGTAAACAAAAGTGGATATATTGTAAAGTTGAGTAGACTAAACACCTAAATTTACTGCATCGTTTCCATTACTGGATGTGATGTGAAGTAGAACCTCAGAAAAACGTTTTCTGAATACAAACAGCTACAAAAGAATAATTGCTACCTCTGTATTCTGAACAGCTTTTTAGAAACAAAATTATACATAAAATACAAATAGTCACATTAAATTGTCTAACTAAAATAATTTGATCAGGTATGAGAGCTAGTGAACAAGTGAACATCAACATCATCAAAACTATTTAGGTCAACATCTTGACATTTTCATCACTACTGTCACATACATTTTGCTCTTACATTTCAGTGGTTTCAGTTTTCACCTAGGACCCAACAGATTTCAAACTAGGCCTACTCCAAACGCCTACACGAGAAAAACAATTGTGACCTCTTATTTTTCTAAATCAATAACATACAGTAGAGACATGCATACATACACACATATTATAATAATTCCATTAAAAATTTTGTTTTTGATAAAGTACGTTAATTCAGTGTATTTGTAAATTATTTAATAATGAAATATTAGTGTATCTTATGAGAGTTTAAGTAGGGTGATGATATAGTTTTTAAATAATTCACTGACAATACAAATAGTTGATGGAGCTAACGATAAGTTTCAATAAATGTTTGTTTGTATCGAAGAGTCTGTGCAATTTTCACTGTTTGATTAAAGCTAAAACCAATGTTTGCACTGAATAACATGTCACAATGATTCATGTCTTCCGATTTTCATCAGCTGCCTACAACCTCAAACGTTCATTAAGTACATATAGAAAGAAGTCGTGATGTACTCGCAAAGATGTCATGATAACAGTCAACACGAGACTCCACAATTAATAAATAGTTCTCAGAAATTATACCTATGTAACTTGTACACAGATGATTCGTATTTAAACAAGGCGAGACCAAATATTAATGAGTGCTGGGATGTAGATTTTTGTTATCATCATCCCCATAACGCTACAGATAAAAACGATTCACAAGCAAAAATTATCCGGGGAATGATACTAAGTTATCAGTCAGTTCTTAGTTTGTTAATACAATTTACATTACTAGACGCTTCACAGATACTCAGCAGTTATCTAGTGGAAATTACGGTTCATTTACATAACTTGAATAATCAATTAATTGTCAGTGAGTGAAAGAACTTGCTTATATCAAGAATTGCGAACTGAATAATATTGATGATGATAAAAATCATAGTAGTGCTAATAATAGTCATAATAATAATATTATTAAAACGAAATAGTAATAAGATGTAGAATAAAATATGTAATGAAATATTAGTAGTAATAATAATAACAGTTAGTAAGTAAACTATATTACCATGGTCGATTCCGAGTGGCCACTACTTCCTCCCGTACACAGAAACCTGGTTTATAAACTCTAATCGCGCAAGCCTCTGCAATTGCAAGCATCTTCCTGTTTGTTTGTCTGCTGACAACAATGACTGATTCAACAGCGTCAGTTCAATGTCCGTTATCCACAAAACGCTTTGTTATTGAACTTCTGGGCATTTTGACATCAGCTGTGTTTCAACTAACTACTTTGGAAAATGCTCCATCATACGAGTTGACAATCGCATTTCTGTACGTCCTCTGTATTCGCTTCCACAAACACCCACAAACTGATATACGCAGTTCGAAGTGTCCAGGATTGTCGACTGGTCTTGACCAGACTGTTGAATCACCCACTTGGTGGTGTTAAGGAACACAGTCTGTGAAGCATAATAAGTCCTCGTGACAGCCTCATCGAGTCTTCGTTTGACTTCTTTTTGCACATCATCTCCTTTGGACGGCGAATTGATAAATATATGCCACATAGCACTATTTCTGATTCATTGAAAAACATCTTCTATCATTACCAGTATCCTAACTCATTTTAACATCATTATCATTATTATCATTATTGTTACTATTATTAGCACTACTATTACTATCATCATCAGTATTATTTAGTTCTCAAATCTTGATGTAATCAAGTTCTTTCACTCACTGACAACTAATTGTTTGTTCAAGTGATGTATATGAACCGTGATACTTTTTATTTTACTTCTATATGCTTGCAATCAGAGAGAGTATCCAGGTGAAGCGTTCTACTCATATTTGATGAATTCATCAAATCCTGCTTTATTGGCTTTTGTTGCTTGTTTTAATTCACATGATTCTTTGAATGCAGTTTAATATTTGTAAATATTGTGTTGTCAGTTTGTATACGACAGAGTGTTTTATTAGTATGAATTAGTCACCCGTAGGAAATCAGTGTCCTGCGCCTCCTATCTAGTATTGATCCTGACTGAATTCTCTCAATCGAATCCTCACTCAGATCACCCATTAGACCAGGAAAGTCTTCATTCCTATGAAGCTTGGAATGAAGTTGTATAGTTAGATGTTATTGGCAGAAACCTCTGAAGCCAGGTTTCGAGCCCCTTAGTAATTGCTAGCAAGGTGTATCTGAAGCCCCCAGGGAACCGATGCGTCTTCCGTTATTCGAAACCATGTCACGCAACACTGCAGTTAACACTGTATCACTAAACTGTTCGGACTCACAATGAACCTCTCTTTTGCCTAATCAGTGCATCTATTTCAGTCCTGTCAAATGTCCATTGTGTACTTGATTAGCTCATAGGTAAGATAACTAACCTTAGCAATCAGTTCCGTCAAGTATTCAGGTACTTCCTTATGATGATTGATACCACAAAGAACGATATCTATGTTAGGAATGAGTTTCCATCACTTGCCTCCACCCAGGCAACATCGTCTCAGAGTGCCTTGTTGTCACCATATCAATCAATTTTTTTATTTAAGCCGTACGTTGAATGCTATATCTACTGACAAAATTTTGAGTGCTTTAGCTTCACATGATTTTCATCAACCAGATTACTTTCATGACAATGATTTTTGTGATTGTCTCACTTCACTAAAAGTAGTTTGTGACATTTGCAAGGAGAGAAATTCCAGCGATATACATATATATGTGGTTAGCTTCTTCGCTTTCCGAATGGTCAAGCATCCTATGGTATTATGTAGAGAACATAAATATGAGCTTCTGATAAACCTTTTAATTCGAATGAGGGTGCTTGTCAAGGTCAAAGAATCTCATTCTTCTTAATGTTGTAAAGTCAAGTTAATGAAATGACAGAACTGCGTTAAACGTTTCCAAGTTTATCTATTAGATGCTCTCGAATACGGCGAAATAGAGGCACTGACGAATAATTCACATACTTCTCTCTGAATGATCAGATCTGGTTAACAAACCCTTCTGGCTTATGTGAATGGCACCCAACTAATCATTCCGATCAGTCTGTTTTATCGTATATATGGCATCGTGCACTCATCTTCGTTTCCCTAGTTGTCATTCATGTTATCAAGTAAATCACCTATTGTGATCATCATAATTTCAATTCTCAAGAGACATTGTATCGATTGCAAATTGTGGATTCGATTCAAGCATCAGGTGTCAGCAGTGATGAAGAATATTTCTGTTTCTGGTGTTGAAGTGAAGTTTCTATGATTGTCTACCGTGTTCATTCTTCACATTCCTTCACATTCGAAGAAACCTCCGACAATGTAGACGGCCTTGTTTGATTACGAGAGAAACGTTGCACTACTGATAACTGATGTTGTAATACTACAAAGAATAACAATGACAATGACATTTCATGCCAACATACCGATATACTTTGGTTTCATTTCCGAAGTGAGCATTAATCGTGCTCCATTAAGCAAGCGTACAGTTTAACATTCCTACACTGTCTAGATGCAGTCGCAACAAATCCAATGTGTGTAACACACAATGTCACTACACTTATTTGCGTAATGTAATACTTGTATTTTATAAAGACGAAAAGGCAGATCGATTGGACATACAGTGAAGACACTGTTGAGCGACAACATGCGCCATCCTCCACTGTTCACCCTCTCCTCCCCCACCAGATAGAGCCCAAATGAGAAATGACGATTTGGGCGTTGTACCTAAGGTGGCATTAAGAAGATCTTGTGAGGAATAAACGAAAACGACTGTGTAATCATGGAGTCAAACTAGAAAGACTGCAGAGACGGGAGTGGAATTGAGATGTTGTGTTGAAGCCCAATGTTCTACTCGAAACGCAAGTGAATAATAATAGTAATAATATTGATAAATACTCAATTAAAAAAGCAACTACTTAAGCTATTTGAAATCTACAAAATTCAACATTGAGGATTTAAAAGCCTGTGTAATATCCTTACGAACCCATTTCAACAAGACATTCAGTATTAGTAAATAGATAAATAAATAAATGGAGAAATAAGATGTTCATGTTGACGTACCATTTATTATCCTGGATGAATGTTTTTTGTTCAAATTTGAAGAAGCTGTAGAACAACCAACAGTGTTATTCAACACCTGTCAGTATATACAAAATACGTTTAAGAGCAAATCAAATTGTTACATAGAATGGAATACAAGGTGTTCATGTGTGTGTGTGTGACGACGCGTGTATTGTTATACATACGTGTTGTACTTCCCGGTATACTAGTTTGTACATAACTATAGTAGGATATACACATATACAGTTGCGTTTTCTTCTTCATATGTTAGAAACCACTACTTTTTTTCTAGAAAATAAACAACTAAGAATAAGGTTATATGTATTTCTTTTTGTATATTCAAGGTTATATTTTTTACGCTTTCTGATGAGAGAATAAAGTGCATTCATACCTTCTTTTTGTCGATGAACTTGAAAGACAAAAAATTGTAGGGACCATGTGTTTTCTTTTGAAATCGAAAGTGAAATCAAAAAGTAAACATATAGGTCATTTTGTAGCAACAGAAGGCAAGCCAGTGTATATTTTCCATTGATCAATCTGTTCTTTCTATATATACTGTTAACATTCTTTAACCAATCACCGAGCGTGTGTTTCGGTTTACATTAAACGACATGTAACAGAATGTTCAAATATACATAGTATTCTCTTGTTTATTAATGCAGTATACAACCGTGGGTAATGTATTCTGTCTGTTACATCAAATAGATTGTTCAAATAGATATATCGTATTCTGTTGCTACTGTAATAATGATCTGTGGGAATACGTGAGAATAATATTCCGTTGGCGCACATGCTCTGTACCACATCATCACAATACCACTTTAGTCAAATTGTCACTAACAGTATACATGTAAGATGTCCTGGTAGCAGTAATTCATGTGATCGTTAAACCATGGGATTCAACATAAAACAGAGTATGATAAACATCAAAATGAATTAACATAGGCGTATATTTTTACAATATCATTGGAGATGAATGTTACAGCATGATGGATATCATGATAGGAGATCTCTTATACAGGTTACTAGTAGAAGAGACATCACTAACTGCTATATAAATATATTACTCACATTTATGACAGTAATTTGGAAAATTAGTGATATTAACATCCTCTTTCAAGACAAATGATTAGGTTTTGATGTTGTAAGGTATTTTGAGTTAGTGGTGTTTGTGTGCGGGTTGATTCAATTGCAAAGCTTTCATCGTCCTTCTAGACAACATTTTGAGTGCAGGATTCAAGTTGTTACATAAACAAACACAAAAGTTGGGATATATTCACTTTTTGGTGCACTTTGGAAAAACATCATACTCGAGTATAATGTTCTAACCAAAGTTTGTTAATCACCTGGGATTTAGCAAAGACTAATGAATCAGTTATATTGCTATTTTTTTGTTTTTAAGCATAGGTCAAGTAAACTCAGTTGGTTTCATAATGCCAGTTATGGAACCATTGAAAAATATGTTGCACTGAACTGGTGTTTTGTTCAAGTCCAAGACTCGTCAGCAGTACGCCACACACATAATGCTACCAGAAATCAAGACTAGGACATTTACTTTAAATTGTGAGCACTTTGTTATTCAGCATTTAGTTTGGGATTGAAAAGCCCGATTAATTCTAGACTACTCCATTACGCGAGAGGTATTGTTACAACCAACAAGTGTCGTCAGCAAGCGTCTCTCCTGGTATCTGACGTGGTCGACTGTGGTGGAGTAGGTCTGTATTTCTCGCTGATTTTCAGTGTTTCTATATATGATGTCGTTCGTCACAACATTCATCTTTCGAAATCAATCAATTCTCGCGAAGACAACATTTATGATTTATCTTTCTCTCTCTCTCTCCTATAAATGTGCGTCTAGCATAGTTGGATTTGTATTTATAGAACTGTACCTATTCGGCATTTTTGCTCTGTTTCTGAGCAGATGAAATAATATCAGTCGAGAGACACTTTTATTGTAGCGATTAAACAGAGAAGGTGATGTGTGATTGTTTAACTAGTCTATGAAAATAAAAACCTCAAATTCGTACACTCTCTCATTGTCTAACCATTCTCCAAACTGAAAATGTTAGCAGTGAAATTGAATTTGGACCGAAACTGAGGTTCGTCTATGCACTACTCAGTTTGTGTTTACGGCTTTGACTGAACCCAGTAGGAAGACTGAATTGTTTGAACAGTGTTAGAAAAGTTTTGAGCTAGAACAATAAAATAAATTGACCTTATTTCATCACCTTTTTTACTTGTGGAAACGCTTTTCGACAAATAAAGGATCTTTCAGAAATGTGGTAAGTAATCTTTGACTAACTAATGTTGCGCTTTTGTTTTTGACTTGCCCAACCCAGTGGCAAACATATAGACTCTGATCAAGGAAGCATTTGGATGATAACTGGTAGAAAGTGGAGTAAATATTATAACTCAGTGGGTGGTGAAGTTGAAGGTTTTGTGTTTCCGAGTTAGATTTATGTTGTTGTGTGGACGTGATACTTTTTCTGGGACAATGTTCGACGTCATATGATGAATCAGAATAAATTGTGTGATCATTTGTCTGGTGAGGAAAATTTAGTTGAGGGAAATGTATGAATGCGTCGTATTTTTGTCTAACAAAGTCGTTCTTACATTCAGAGACCAATATTTGTCTACTGATATTTTTGTGTTTCCGGAAAGTGAAGGGTCTTTGAAGAATAATACTCGTATTGGGTATTCACTTGAGTAGTGTTGCTGGCTTCAGTTTCGTCATGTCTGTTTCAGGTCGTTTGGTCAGACAATTTTGCACATTCTGCACTCTGTCTCTGATTGTTTGTGCTTACAGCAGGGATTAAGTGTGCTTTGTCTTTGGATGAGTGTATGTGTAGCAGGTGGTCGATGCTTCTAGTTTATCCACAATGATGAATACCACAAAGAAAATAGATTCATGTTGCACAACTACAGATATTTGTTGAGGTTTTTTACCCTCATCACTGCATGAGTTCCATTTTTGATAGCCATTGCGGATTTTATAGTAGTGGAAGTTGATTTCTCTTCTGAAGTTATCTGTTGAGAGTAGGAAGTCGAATTGGCTTTGAAGCAATAATTGTCTGATAAAATATCTCATTGCTTTTAATAAATTCTCTATTCGATCAACAATGCAGTTCTCTTTCATATGTCAAATCGACTACGATTTCTGAAACAAAACAAAATATTCACTTCACCAATGACTCGATTAGAAGCGTTATATAATAAAATGAGACAAATTCTCCATAATAGCTTTACATCCCTAAGTACTATGTGGCGACCATGTTCTATAACATTAACTTCCTCATACTACTCACCAATCAATGTAAGTAGTCTGATATCACACAGAGAAAGTAATTGAGGTGAATATTTAGCATATTTTTATGGTAATTTAAACCCATCAAATATTCAGTGATTACTAAGCGGCTGTTTTGTAGAATCTACACTGATATTTCGGGAATGTCTCGAAGGTGATAAATGTAACTGAAGATTTGATTACGAACGTTTCCATAACGTCTCTTGTGTACTCCATTATTATTATTATTCCTCTGAGTTCCAAGTGGAATAGAGGGTTTCAGTAACATGCCTCTGTTTTACCCTATTCTCTGCAGTCTTTCTTACCTGACTCCACAATTGCCCGTAAGCTTTCATATTCTCGTAACATGATCTACTCAGTCTCACTCTCAGAAAAATAACTCATCGTTTCTCTTCTGCGTTGCAATCGATGAGTTATCAGGTGCGTGGTGTCACTCAATCGTCTTCTCGGCGTATGTCCAATCCACATGCATTTCCTTCTGCATACTTGTTTGAGCCATAGGTTCCTGCCTTCTTGTTTGCCAACCGTCAGATTTCCTTGTTGCTCATCGTTTCTAGCCATGTGATCTTGAGTCAGAGAAGGTGGTTTCAAAGGATTGTCTGCAGAAGCCTTTTGGAAATGCTTCTGGAGATGTCTGCGCCAAGTCAATGAAGCACATTCAAACACTGGTTTTACATTATTTTTGAGAATCCGGATCGTTTTCTTTGTACTGAGTGCAACAGATTTCCACAGTGATTTCAGAGTGATGATGGTCTATATCGCTTCCAGACCGCCTCTGATATCCATATACATGCCACTTGTAGCCTGTAGCTGAAACGATGCTGCCCAGATGAGTGAAAGAAGTGGCCTTCTCCCAATTTCTCCCGCTGAGGGTGCTTGTTTTTCGGTGGGTATCTTGATCACTTCTATCTTCCTTATGTTTATTTGAAGTTATTTCTTTCGATGCCTTTTCAACAATTTGGAACTTGTTGATTTTCGCCGACAGATGTTCGAGTTTGTGTGACATTAGACATAAGTCGTCCGCGAAGTCAATATCCTCTAGAGTCAGTTTTGTTAGTTCGACTTCTGCTCGTCCTCATCAGACACTCTGATATTGATACTCTAAAACATTCAGACAATAAATGTAATTAACGTGTGGTATTTATTATTGATTAGAAGCATTATTATTTCATTTCTTTACGTTCCAAGTGAAACGTATGACTTCAGACTTCATATTTGAAAATACGGTAGGAGTGGTTTTATTTTGTGGGGGTGTAGTTGATGGTCTCACGCTCAACGTTACTTCTTTACTGGTTTTGCCAACAGCTTAGTGAGCTTTGGGAGTGCGTAGACCGAGGATTAAACCCTAAACCACGTGGATGGTTGCAGGGAGGTCCATCACTGAACCACCGACGCTAATTCACAACATCATGTGTGCATAATTAGATGTCTATATATCGTTTACATGTAAATGTGTCTCACTCACACATTTCTCGTTGGTATACAGTTATAGAAGAAAAGCCAACATATGACTGAGCAATTCTTATTTATTTGATTTCCAATTTATCATCGTCTACAAGAAGAATAAGGCAGAACTGATTGAAAAACAAATAGCAGATGTTTTCAGAAGAATGTCTGATAACTGAGGACTTGTTTGACTGCCTGAAACCGACAGGATAAACTCTTATCAGACTCTACGGCTTACTAAAAGTGCACAAACCTGGCTTGCCGCTTCGAACAATTCTAGACAACTCAGGAGCATCATACCATCCAATCGCCAAATGGCTGCCCGAAATATTTGAGCCGGTAAAACAACACCTATGCAAGTACTCCCTTCGTGATGCATTTGAGTTCGTTGAATGTCTAAAAGACTTGAATGTGAATGGTAAAATAATCTTATCCCTAGACGTCGAATCCCTCTTTACCAACCTAGCACTAACAGAAACAATTTGTTTCCTGTGCAGTTATATGGAGGACGGGAAAATAAGTATCGGAATACCAACATCATATTTGGAAGAATTGTTGCTGAGATGCACGCTGAATGTGCAATTTACCTTCAACGGCGACATCTACAGACATAATGGAATTGCAATGGGATCTCCTCTTGACTCTCTTATAGCGGAGTAC